AGTACTACTCAGCCATAAAGAACGAGAAACTAGAGTCATTTATAGCTAAATGGATGCATATTGAGGCCATACTCTTAAGTGAAAATAAATAGGACTTGCATGTGTAAATACCAAATAGTTTCTTTAGTGTGAGAAACTGAGAGTGTAAATAAGGATTAAAAGGATTAATAGCTAATAATTGATACTTTGAAATAGGAAAAGGTCCAAAGGGGTAGGGGTGGTGGGAGGAGATGGGGAAAGGAAAGAATGGAAAGGAAAAATTATGAGAAAAGAAAAAAAATGGAAATGAAGTCTGTGTAAATAGGGAAGGATGGAGGGGTGAAGGACGCACAGGTAATGGGGAAAAAATAAGAACCAAGATTCATCATGTACAGGCACAAGCACCCAATTATAAATGTAAACGTATTGTATACCTAAAATGTACCAATAAAAGAATTTAAGCAAAAAAATAAAAATAAAAAAAATAAAAAGTAAAGCCAGCAGTCAAAAAAAGGAACATGACTGGGCCAGGGATTTAGCCGGCACCTGCCTCCCAAGCACAAGGTCCTGATTTCAATCCCCAGTACCAAAAAAAAGGAACATGACTGTACTAAGGTGAAAGAAATGTCTTTGGAGGCCCCCAACGATTGTGGCCAGGCACATTAGAATAGTGAGGAATAATTAGAATGTGTTGGTATCAATGAGTAATAATTGCACATAAATTCTGAGAATAATGATTGCTACACAAGTTTTGGATTACATATCATGGAGTTAAATGGATATTTTAATTTTGTCTATTTCAGATTCCATCTTTTGTTTCAGTCAAATTTTAAAGGTCCTGCACATTGTGTTACTAAATTGGAGTTATTACTTCCATGATGAAGTTGCCACTCCATCCATAATTTGGAAGAGGGCTAGAGCCAGAGAGACATTTCAGAGACTGACAGGAATGAGCATGTGCTTTCTGGGAGTCCAAGGTCTCCTAGTGATTGCAGCACTAACCAGAATGCCCTGTTTCTGCTGGGCTTGGAGGCCTAAGGTGGCTACTTTCCAGGATTATAACCTGCTCACTTGTCTTGCTCCTCTCTTTTAAACAACAAAGGCAAAGAAGACCTATGAGCAGAAGTGCCGGGACAAAGATGAGGCAGAGCAAGCTGTCCACCGGAGTGCCAACCTGGTAAACACGAAGCAACAAGAAAAGGTACCTAGGAAGGCTGACAATATGAAAGATTTGAGATTTAAATTTATCAGTTTAAAGCCAACTAACAGCCTTAAAAATCTTTGTTACATATTTGGGGATGGGGCAAGCACTAGGAAGCATGGCCTTGGGGAGCAAAGGATAACAGAAGAGTTCTGATTTATTTTTTTTATCTTTTTCAAAATACAGCTCTTGTATTTGTGGCCTCTTGCTTGGGCAGATTGGAAACTTAATTTTATAAAATCTTGGCATAAGATTGTCAGCAACGAGAGGTCAGGAGTAGGTGTTTAGTAAGACATAGGGCATTATGTTTATGGCCATTTTCCAATAGTGAGAAGATTAAAGGACAGATTGAGTGATTTGCTCGTGAGGGAAAAGTAGATGCAACTTCGACAAGACCTTGTCTTTTCATAGTCACTGCTTTTACACGTGTTTGTCTATGGAAGCCTGGCCCAGCGTTCCCGATCTCTGTTCTTTTTTGTCTCCACAGCTTTTTGTGAAACTGGCAACTTCAAAGACTGCAGTAGAAGACACAGGTGAGGGGGCTTTTCCTCTGGATGGGGAGGGTTAGTGGTGGGGTTTACATTCTCCTAAGTGTGTCTCTGAGAAAAGTAGTTTTACAATAAAGAATATTATGTATTTATGGTAGGGTTAACAAAATATTAGAAGAAGGGAGGAAAAGAAGAGAGAAGAGGGAAGGAAGGGAGAGGAGGGAGGAAGGGAAGGTATGCAAGAACTCCAGAAAGTGGGGGGAAGCACAAGAGTCAGCAGGTTCTAGCTACGACCTGTGGAGGTCTTGCTGCCTTAGGTGTTAAGTGTTTGTTGGCGGTGGAGTCCTGTGGTGGCTGCTTTGGAATTGTTCTGATGTTTTGTGGATAACTGTCCAAAAGACTGTTTCAGCCCTTGCAGCCTTCATCTGCTATGAAAGAAACAGCTGAGGTGTAAGGCCTTGTCATCTCTGAAGTCCAAAACCCAAACCAGAAGTTGTAAAGCTTTCTAATTCCCAGAAATAGGCCTCTTGTGAAGCCCCCCACTTAGGAAACCTCTAAATAAAAAAATCAAAGTATATTAGTTTGTACAAATTTAAAGGAAAACAGCCAGGCATGGTGGTACATGCCTGTAATCCCAGCACTCAGGAAGCTGAGGCAGGAGGATCACTGCGAGTTTGAGGCCAGCTTGGGTTACATAGTGAGTTCAAGGCCAACCTGAACTACATAGTGAGACCATGTGTCAAAAAAAGAAAAAAAATTAAAATATTTATAAAAAATTATTTGCTGAAAAACAAATTATCTTGGTGCTGCTTTTGGGTTCAAGAGAGTTCTCTCTGGATCCTTCATTGGAGATTTTTCCTGAAAATGAAAAGTGCATCGACTACTAAGGCAGAGGTAGATACAGAAAACCCTGGCTGAGGTTCCGCCTCAGCTTTCACTTCCTCCTTGAGGCATTTCTTGCTTAGTGCTTGGTTCACTGTTTAAAGGAAAGTGACAGCCACCTTGTGGCTGTTCAAGGCCTTGTGAGCTCACCACAGCTCCGATGAGCCTGCTGTCTAGTCTCTGAACAGAGGCTCTTTCCTTGCGTTGCAGACAAAGCGTACATGCAGCATGTCAACACGCTGGACAAGATCCGAGAAGACTGGCAGAGCGAGCATGTGAAGGCCTGCGAGGTACCCGGAACCAGAAGCCGCTCAGGAAGGATGGGCTGGTCTTCCACCTTAGACCCTGGAGCACTTACTTCTATAGAAGCAGCACAGACCCTTATATTATAGCACCTCAATTCTCATTTGGTCAAAGAGCTTGAGAGAGAGTTAGAAATGAGGAATTTGAGGAAGAGTGGAAGGAATTGGAATCTTTTCCTTCAAACTGTAGCCTTCTGTCCTTTCCGCGCTCTAACTTCATTTCCCAACTCTGCCCAAGGCTTTAGGCTAATGTTTAGTTAGTGCAGACATGAACCAGCAGATTCAGTTAATGGTTGGTTAGTACAATAATTATCTTTGGGAGCCTGTCCTGTCCTTGCTAGGTTCTGTGGGGAATGCATATAGCTGGTGAGCAGGCTTTGGAGTATTTTTTACTCTTTTCACATTGTTCTTTTCACCACCACTCTCTTTCATTTTCAGCATACAACCTCATGATTAACTGGAGGAAAACTCTAAAAGACAGAATCTGTAAACTTTCTTAAGTTTTTGCCATCTTGTCTACACATCTTCTTACCAGTGGTTCTCCAAGTGAGGTCCCAGGACCAGCAGCATCACTTGGGAACTTGTTAGAGGCAGTTCTCAGACCAACCTCAGACCTGCAAACTCTGGAAGTAGGGTCCAGGAAGCCCTGAATTCAAGTATGAGAACTTGAATTCACAGTCCCCCTTCCTTAACAAGATCATATCCCAGCTGGGTGTGGTGGTACATGCCTGATTTTAATCCCAGCTACTTGGGAAGCTGAGGCAGGAGGATTGCAAGTTTGCAAATTTAGCAAGACCCTGTTTCAAAATAAGGTAAAAAGAGCTGGGGATGTAAATCAGTAGTAGAGCACTTGTCTAGCATGAATAATCCCCAGGAACCTCAAGAAAAAAAAAAATCTCATCTGGCTGGCGTTTCCCAGCCCTTTTACCCCTTGGACATAGCTCCCTTTAATATGAACTGCTATTATCTTGTACACAAACTCAGCTCGTTCCTAGCTTTAGCTTGAAAACCCAGTAGCTGTCACTTCCCATCTGCTATTCTCTCTTCACAACCATACTTTTTTTTTTGGTGCTGAAGATGGAACCCGCAGTCTCAGTGCATGTGCTTTACCACTGTTACACCCCAAACCCCAGTCATGCTTCTTAAAGAAGTCATTTCCAAGTCCTTGTTGGGCCAACCTGACATGGCCTGAGGTTTGCTTTCCTGCAGCTATTCTCCCCTCTTTTATTTATTTATTTAAATTTTTATTAATACGTGTTTGCAGTTCATAATGACTATATTCATTGTGGGGGTTTGGTACATGTACATAACACATCTCAATTCTTTTTTCCTCTTCCCCTCCACCCCCTTTTTTGCCAGCATCAGGTTCATTTATTTATAAGTCCTTATAAAATTAATTATCATACAAATAGCTTGGCTAACAGGCCAAAATACATATAAAACACATAGGACAGTTATAGTAAATCAAGGTACACTTTTAGATACATTGTCCATGCTGGATCACAATAACTTTTTTCTCCTTTTTCCTATTGTCTGTCTTATATCTTGTACTTTATTTATAGATTAAATTTCTTTTTTTTTTTTTTTTGGTACCGGGGATTGAACTCAGAACCTTGCACTTGCAAGGCAGGCACCAGAACCACTGAGCTAAATCCCCGGCCCCTTAAATTTCTCATATAAAAGAAAGTGCAATATTTAAGCTTGTGTGCCTGATTTACTTCACTTAACATTATGGTCTCAAGGTGTATCCATTTTCTTACAAATGACTCAAATTTATTCTTTATGGCAGAGCAGTACTCCATTCTATATAAACACCACCTTTTCTTTATCCATCCATCTGTTGATGGACATATAGGCTGCTTCCAAGATTTGGCAGGATTGTGCTACTATAAACATAGGTACGCATACATCACTGTGGTATGATGTCTTTTATTCTTTTGGGAAGATACCTAGAAAGAGAATAGCTGGATCAAATGAAATTCCTAGTTTTAGGGGTTTTTTTTGGGGGGGGGGATTGTTTGTTTGTTTTGTTTTTATGGTACTGGGAATCGAACTTAGGACTTTACACTTGCCAGGCAGGGACGGCGCCACTGAGCTAAATCCCCAGTCCTAGTTTTAGTTTTCTGGAGAATGCTCATACTGATTTCCATAGTGGTTGTACCAGTTTATATTCCATCTAACAATGAAGAAAGGTTCCTTTTTCCCTGCAGCCCCTCCAGCATTTGTTATTGGTTAATTTCTAGATGATAGCTCTTTTTCTGGAGTGAGATGGAATCTCATTTTTGGGGGGGGGTACTGGGGATCGAACTCAGGACCTTACACTTGTGAGGCAGGCACTGTGCCACTGAGCTAAATCCCTGGCCCCTTCATTTGCATTTTTTGAATGGCCAGCAATGTTGAACATTTTTTTCATATATTTATTTCCTTTTGTACTTTTCATTTGGAAGTGTCTATTCTTTTCAGATGCCCTTTTTGATTGGGTCTTTAAATTTGGGGACGATGTAATTTTTTGAGTTCTTTATATATTCTAGATGCTAGTCCTTTGAGGAATAGCTGACAAAATTTTTTTTTCTACTCTGTAGGTTGTCTCTTCATTCTGTTGATGGTTTCTTTTGCTTTACAGAAGCTTTTTAATTTGATGTGATCCCATTTGGTGATACTTGGTAGTATTTCTTGTGTAACCGGGGTTCTGTTTAGAAAGTCTTTGCCTACTCCTATGTCTTCAAGAATTTTACCTATTTTTTATTCCAGCAGAATAAGTGTCTCTTTTAATATTTAGATCTTTGATCCATTTCGATTTTAGTTCAGTGCATGGTGAATGGTATGGATCTAGGTTTAATTTTTGGCGTGTGGATAGCCAGTTTGCCTAGCACCATTTGTTAAAGAGGCTGTCTTTCCTCCAATGAATATATTTGGCCCCTTTGTCAAAAATAAGGTAGCTGAGTTTGCCTAAAGTTGTTTCTGCATCTTCTGTCCTGTTCCCTTGATCCACAAGTGTGTTTTTCTACCCTCAATAACATGCTGTTTTTTTAAATTACTAGAGCCTTGTAGTATAACTTGAAGTCTGGGATTGTGATGTTCCCTGCATTGCCCTTGTTGCTAAGAATTACTTTTGCTTTTCTAGGTCTCTTCTAATTCCATATGAATTTTAAGATTGCTTTCTCTAGTTCTATGAGGAATACTATTAGCATTTTGATTGGAATTGCAGTAAATCTGTTTAACAGTTTTGTAAGGATGGCCATTTTGACTGTATTGGTTCTGCCTATCTAAGAACAGGGGATATCTTTCAATTTTCTGATATCTTCTTCTGTCTCCTATTTCAGGATTATATAGTTTTCATTGTAAAGGTCTTTCACTTCATTGGTTAATATCTTTGTTACTTTCCTTGTTATTGAGACAGTACCTGGCAACAGCAAGTTAAAGCAGGAAAGGTTTAATTTAGCTCACAGTTTGTAGAGGTTTCAGTCTATAGTTGGTTGGCTCCAAGGCAGGCATGGCAGAGGGGCATCACAGAGGAGAAACAGTCCATGGCAGAGCAGGGAGGAGGTAGCAAGCTGCAAGCTTCCTTTTCCTTTTCATTTCATCCAGCTACAAGCCTTTTGGTGGTGCCACCCACCCCAGGGGAGGCCTTCCCATTATCCACACCCAGAACTATGCTAAACCAATCAGTGGATTGATATAGTTGTTATACCCTTAATCCATATTCACGCACCTTTAATCCACATTCACACACCCTAGATCCAGCCACCTCTCAAAAGCTACTCCCCCCCACCCCCCTCCCCCGCCTTGCCCCCGTGAGCTCATGAGGCTTTAGGAGAACATCTAGATACAGGCCGTAACAGTTAGATTAATTGCTAAGTATTTCATTTTTTCTGATACTATTGTAAAAGTTATTTTTTCTCTTGGTGAGTTTGTTGTTGGGTACAGGAATGCGATTGATCTTTGAGTGCTGACTATATCCTATTATGATACTGAATTTGGTTATTAATTCTAGGAATCTTTTGGTGGAGTTTTTGGGGTCTTCTATGTAGAGAGTCATGTTGTCTGCAACTAATGATAATTTAACTTCTTCCTTTCCTATCTAGACTTTTATTTCTTTCTCTTGTCTAATTGACCTGGCTAATGTTTTGAAAACTATATTGAACAGGATAGTGGAATCCTTGTCTGGTTCCTGATTTTAGAGGAAATTTTTCAGCTTCTCTTCATTTAGTATGATGTTGCCCATTGGCTTGTCATAGGTGGCATTTATCAGATTAAGATAATGATTTTCTATACTTATTTTCTTCAAAGTTTTCATTATCAGTGGATGTTAGATTGTGTCAAATGCTTTTTCTGCATCTCTTGAGATGATCCTGCGATTTTTCTCCTTGCTTCTGTTAATGTGGTATATTACATTTATTGATTTGTGTATGTTGAACCATCCCTGCATCCCTGGAATGAATCTTACATGGTCATGGGGTATGATCTTTTTTTTTTTTTTTGGTACCGGGGATCGAACTCAGGTCTTTGAGCTTGCGCAGCAGGTGGCAAAACCACTGAGCTAAATCCCTAGCCCTAGGGGTATGATCTTTTTAATGATTTGTTGCATTCTGTTTGCAAGTATGTTATTAGAGATTTTTTCCAGAGATGTTCATTAAAGAGATTGGCCTGTAGTTCTCTTTTTCTGTTTTAGGTATCAGGATGATGCTTGCTTCCATGAATGAATTTGAAACTACTGTTTCCTTTTCAATTTTATTAAAGAGTTTGAGGAGTATTGGCATTAAGTCTTCCCTAAAGTTCTTGTAGAATTTGGTAGTGAATCTGTGGGGACCTGGACTTTTCTTAGTTGATAGTCTCTTTTTTAACTTCTTCAATTTCATTGACTAATATTGGATTATTCAGGATTTTTGTATCTTCTTGGTTCAGCATTGATAGTTCATATGTAACTAGAAATTTATCCATTTCTTCTGAATTTTCCACTTTATTAAAGTACAGGATCTTAAAGTAGCTACTGATGATCTTTTGGATTTTGGTAGAACCCATTGTGATTTTGCTGTTTTCATTTTTAATTACATAGATTTAGATTTTTTTCTTTCCTTATTTTGGTACTATTGGCTAAGGGTTTGTCTGTTTTGTTTAATCTTTCAAAGAACTGGCTCTTTGATTTTTTGTATTTTTTAAATCTCAGTTTCATCAAATTCTGCTCTGATTTTTTTTTTTTTTTTGCTTAAATTCTTTCCTTGGTACATTTTAGGTATACAGCACGTTTACTTTTATCATTGGGTGCTTGTACCTGTACATGATGTATCTTGGTTCTTATTTTTTCCCTATTCCCTGTCCTCCCTTCACCACCTCCACCCTTCCCTATTTACAAAGAACTTTGTTTCCATTTTTTCCTTTCTCATAATTTTTTCTCTCCCTTGTGTCCTTTTCCCTTCCCCGCCCACTTCCCCCACCCCTTTGGACCTTTTCTTCCTATTTCAAATTATCAATTATTCGTTTTAATCATTTTAATCCTTATTTACACTTTCAGTTTCTCACACCAGAGAAACTATTTAGTATTTATACATGTGTGTCCTATTTATTTCACTTAAGAGGATGGCCTCAGTATGCATCCATTTAGCTATAAATGTCTCTAGTTTCTTGTTCTTTATGGCTGAGTAGTACTCCATTTTATAAAAAAATCACATCTTTATCCAGTTTCCAGTTGATGGGCACTTGGGCTGTATAATTTCCTTCCTTGTACTAACTTTGGATTTGGATTGTTCTTGTTTTACCAGGACCTTGTGGTGAATGATTATGTTACATATTTGAGATCACTCTCTTTTTCTGGTATGGAATTCTCTGCTATAAACTTCCCTGATAGGACTGCTTTCATTGTGTCTCATAGGTTCCAGTATGTTGTATTGGTATTATTGTTTAATTGTGGGAACTAATTTCTTCTTTAATTTCCTCTGTGACTCATTGATTAGTCAAGAGGGTATTATTTGATTTCCATATGTTTGCATAACTTCTGTGGTATCTTTTGCCACTAATTTCTAGTTTCATTGCAGTTTGATCTGATAATATCCATAGAGTAATTTTTATTCTTTTGCATTTACTTCAGCATGCTTTATTGCTAGTATGTGACCTGTTTTGGAGAGAGAATGTATATTCTGTTGTTTTTGAATAGAACATTCTGTAGATATTTATTAAGTCCATTTGTTTGAAGGTTTGGTTTGGTTTAACTTTGATAGTTCTTTGTTTTTTGTCTAGTTGACTTGTCCTTTTTGGACAGTGGGGTATTGAAGTCCCTTGTTACATTTGTGTTGGTGTTCATCTGATTTTTAACCTCCATTAGTGTTTGTTTTATTAAGTTGGGTGCACCAATATTTGGCATGTATATATTTATAATTGTTATCTCTTCCTGTTGAATTGTTCCCTTAACCAGTGTGTAGTGACCTTCTTTGTCATTTGCTAATATCCAAAAAACTATTGTTCAGACAGTGATTTTTGACTTTTAAAAAATTAATTTTCTTGGTACACTTTTGATACACATAATGATCCCATTCATCGTGGGGAATTTGTATCTGTACATAATATATATTGATTTTTCTTTTTTCCCCATTCCCCTCCCTTCTCTTCATCCCCTCTTCCCCTCCTTATTTACAGAAGCTTTGTTTCCATTTTCCCCCTTCTATTCTCTTTTTTTCCTTTTCCCTTCCCCTTTTGACTTTTTTTATTAAGGAAAAATTTAAGCATATTCAAAGATAAAAGACAAGTGCAAGGGCCCCCACATCCTCCTTATTAACCAGCTTGAACAATTATGACATCTTTTCTGTCAAGTACATTCATCCCAGAGTGGGGGGAGCAGTGTTATGAATCTGGAGCTCTGACAGGCTTCCTTAAGTGGAGATGCCCAGGCAGTTAGAACTGTCTTCTGGAATTCAGGTTAGAATGTTAGCATCTGGGGGATCTTCATTACTTCTTACCTTCAGGACTCTAGCTAACCCTGTTTGTGTTAATATGATTTTAGAATCCATGTTTTAGTCACTTTCCTCATTGCTGGGACAAACTACCCAACACCCATGACTTACAAGGAGGAGAAATTTATTTGGGTTCACAGTTAAGTCCATGGCCAACTGGATCCAAGGCAGGAAGGCATAATGGAAGGCATGGCAGAGGAAGGCTGCTCACCTCATGGTGAACAGGAAGCAGAAAATGAAGCAAGGAGCCAGGAAGGGAGATACACCTTTCCAGGTCATGCCCTCAGTGACCTACCTCTTTTGACTAGACCCTACCTCCTAAAAGCAAGTCAACTGTAATGCCCCCATAATCTAATCTTCCAAAAGCCCCACTTATGAGTGCATGAAGCTCTGGGGGACATCTAGACATAAACCAGAATAATCCATTTGTATTATTTGTCTGTGGTAAGAGTTTATGAGCTCCCTCAATGGTGGTGGTAAGAAGTATCCTATAAATTGAGCAATAAGCTTACAGATAATTGAGAGTTGACACTGTTTAAGTGACCACAATCTAAATGAATGCTCCTTTTCTCTGTATACATAGATACTCATGGCTCTTTTTTCTGTAGGTGTTTGAAGCTCAAGAATGTGAACGAATAAACTTCTTACGGAATGCACTGTGGTTACATTTGAATCAGTTGTCACAACAGTGCGTCACAAGTGATGAGGTATGTCAGAGGCATCCACAAAGGACTGTGGCTCTTCATATTTGATTCATTAGAGTGGAAAGAACCGTAGACACTTGCTAGGTCATCCTACTCCACTGCTTTCATTTGAGATCCAGAGAGGTAAAGTGACTTGTTCAAGGCCACACTGTGACTTGATATAAGGACCCAGATAAACATGTGATCTCCCTGACTCCTGGTCCAGTTTGCTACCATAATTAGAAAGAATGAACAAATTCAGAGTTAGGGCAGGAAAGCAGAGAAGGGAACCCAAACCCAGATTAATTTTTGGGAGATAGAGATGTCACAGCATGAATGAGAATCCCAGTTCCAGTCTGGGGTAGGATCATTCGGGCCAGCACCCATTACTCGCACACTGACCTATGTGGGTAATGGTCTCTCCAGGGCTTAAGGTTTTCTCCCACAGCATTCCCACGGCCATTATCCAGTATTAGGCAAAGCAATAGTAATTGAGTTCCAAGATCTTACATCATCACAAGCTTCATTGCTAAGAAATAGCCACTCTCACCTAGATGGAACATTCCATTTAGAAGACACTGCCTTTGCTTAGCAACACTGCTAGCTTTTTGAACATAGCACTTTTAGGATAAACGTTAAATGAATTAGTCATAGTTCAAGGAAGACTATGTCTTGATTGCCCATAGAATTGAATGGAAGGATTTTTTTTCAGGTTAAGTAATTGCCTTTGTAGTTGTATGTGTTGTTGATCTTATGTCATGGTATTTGGTATCTAGTATTTGGTTCCATCAGGTTTTTAAAACATTTTTTTTAGCAAAATCTTTTTTTTTTTTTGGTGCTGGGGATAGAACTTGGGTCCTTGTGCTTGTGAGGCAGGCAGTGGAACCACTGAGCTAAATCCCCAGGCCAGCAAAATTTTTATATTCCCACAAAAATACATTTTCTGGCATCTTTTAAAAAATTTAATAGCACAGATGTACCAGAGACAAACCATTATATAAATCCGAGACTTGGGAATTTTTTTCTTTTCAAAACAATGTAATTTGAAAAAGAGCCATTCATCTACACCTTCATTTCTAAAGAACCATGTCACAATCATCATCAGCATACCTTTGCTTAATTATTTATCTTCTTTTTGTTAGATGTATGAACAAGTCCGTAAGAGTTTAGAAATGTGCAGCATTGAGAAGGACATTGAGTACTTTGTGAATCAACGCAAAACTGGCCAGATTCCACCAGGTGAATGGGTTGGCAGGGTGGGCAGGGTTACATAGGCAATTCTGTTTGTCTTTCTTGTCCAGTGTTATTGAGGACATAAGACACTTGCTGTGTTAGCTTTCTGTCATCGTAACATATACCTCAGATAAATCAACTTATAAGAGAAAAGGTTTATTTTGGCTTACGCTTTTGAGGTTTCAGCCCATGGTGGATGGCCCCTTTGCTTATGGGCATGTGGCGAGGGAGCATATCATGGTGGTATAGGTATGGCAAAGCAAATCATTCATCTCATGGCCAGGATGTGAAAGCAAAGGAGGAAGAGACCAGGCTGTCACAGTCCTCTGTGAGACCATGCCTACATTGACCTGAAGACCTCCCAGTAGGGCCCGACTCTTAAAGGTTCTGCCACCTCTCAATAGAGCCACGCTGGGAACCAGGCCTCCAACACATGGACCTTCTGGGGATGTTCTGGAACCAAATTATAACACATGCTTCTAACTGTTTTGTTTCTTGATGCTCCTCTTAGCACCGATTCTGTATGAGAATTTCTACTGCCCCAACCGGAATGCAGCTGCACCAGGAAAGGCTACAGGAACTAATTTAGCAAGGTAATAGCCAGCTGCCTTTCACATGAAAAAAAAATACTTTCGATTAACTATTTTATTGTTAATGTTTTAAGACAGCCCTGTGTGGTGGTGCATGCCTATAATCCTATCACTCTGAGAGGCTGAGTCAGGAGCATTGCAAGTTTGAGCCAAGTCGAGCAATTTAGTGACTTAGTGAGACCCTGTATCAAAATTTAAAAAAATAAATAAGTAAAAAGGGGTGGGGCTGTAGCTCAGTGTGAAGGCCCTGGGTTCAATTTCCGGTGCTGAGGGGATAAAAAGAAAAAGAAAAAATGTTCTAAGATATATATTATATTTCAAAAGTTTATTTTAAATTGACAAAAATTATTCATATTTATCATTTTCAGAACATTAAAGATTAAACATATACAACACTGCCTTTGCTTAGCAACACTGCTAGCTTTTTGAACATAGCACTTTTAGGACACACGTTAAATGAATTAGTCATAGTTCAAGGAAGACTATGTCTTGATTGAATGATATCATTCATTACTTGTTTGTGAATCTTTTACCTTTCTTATAGCCTGTAGAAAGCAAGAGTCAACAAACCATGGTGCCCTGTGAAACAAATCTGATTTACTTGTTTTTGTAGGGCTTAATTAAGAAGTTTTTACATTTTTTAATGGCTGAAGAAAATCAAAAGGATACTGTTTAATGATATGTAAAAATTATATGCAATTCAAATTTCAGTGTTCATATAGAGTTTTATGAGAACACAATACCCTTAATGGATTATGTTTTGTCTGTGATTGGTTTCCCTTGAGAGCTCAATAGCACTGCAACAGAGTTGTGTATGGTCAGCAAAGCCTGAGTCATTTATTATTGGGCCCTTTAGAAGGAAAGTCTCCTGCCCCTCATATAAACAATCCCAAGGGAAGAGAAACTTAGCTGGAAGACTAAGCTGTTGAGTTTTCCAATTAGTTTTAAGAAGGATGGGGCATGTTTGGGAGGGTTGCATGCTCATTATCAATATTTAAGAATTGCATGTAGTCACTGCTCAAAACAATACAAATTAGCTGATTTAATTCTCACAATGAAGTAGAAGCTGTTTGTATTTTCTATTCTACATATGAAAATACTGCACAAATTGTTGTTTTGTTTTGTTTTTTGGTACCGGGGATTGAACTCGGGTCCTTGCACTTACAAGGCAGGTGGCAGAACCACTGAGCTAAATCCCCAGCCCTGATACTGATGCACAAGGAGATCAGTAAATCTTGCTCACACAGGTAGATTTTAATCCTTCCTGCCTGGGTTGCAGAGACAGAGCTCTGTGCTCCTGACCACTATTCATAGTGTCCCATAGCATCATCTGTCTGCACCTTGGATTTCAGTAGGTCAGAGGTACAGATCATTTGCTTCTGAGGTTTCTTGACTTTCCAATGCAGAAACCTAAGTTGATTAAAGTAGCTCATTGGAGTATAATAAGCTTGTAGCATAAAGTAGAATATTATAAAAATAATAAGATCTTATCTGAAATACTTTGGTTTTCATTTCTTATAGGAGAGGACCTCTCCCAGTTCCTAAAAGTTTACCAGGTATGCCATTAAGAAAAGCCTTTTGAAATTCCTATGTCAGACTTTCTTTAGGATTGAATGACTAGAATTTTGAAATAAGGGGAATAAACTGATTATATCAAATTAAACTCCAAAGAGAATAAACCTGTATTAGAATTTTACTATATATAGTTTGTCAGAGTGAAAGTTGATAATTGATCTATTTTACAGCTTATCCAAGAGAATTCAGCTGCTAATGTACCAAAAAGAAACATTATAAGACAGTCTTAACAAAGATTATTTTAACTTGGACCAGGAGTACAGCAGAACTGAGATACAGTTCCCTTTGAATTACATAAACATATAATTTATAAATGGTAAAGATATCCAGAAACATGAATTTAATATTATATATTTTGTTCATCCCCCGTAATGGACTTTGCTTCTCTGTCTCTGTTCTCTCTCTGTCTCTGTCTCTCTTTCTGTCCCTGTCTCTCTGTATCTCTCTCTTTCTGTCTACCTCTGTCTCTCCTCAACTCCTGTGACACTTCTGGTAGAAACCACACATCTTAGCATCTTTTGTTACTGGTATTTGTTTGATAATTATAAGATCTTTGAGGGCAGGCACTTTGTCTTTTCTTGTATCACTCTCAACACCTAACATAGAGTAGGTCTCAGGAGATATTTACTCTTAGCAGAAAAAAGGTTCACTTATCTAAATTCAGGGGAATGAGGAAGAGGACATCTTATGCTACATTTAGCAGCTCAGTAAAAATTTAATGACTGATAGAAAATTTAGTGGCTTAAATATTACCTTTGAATAATATGATAATTTGTTTTATTTCTTGTTACCTTGTTACCACTTGATAATGCCTGGTTGCATTTTTGTCCAGTTTTGAAGATAACTTTGGTGTGAATACTAATATCTGGAGATGGGTGAAAAATGGCAAAGTCATAATAGTGATTTCCAGAATGTTCTTTGGTTTGTTGTCAGGACTACCAATTGTAGGTTTTGTTGTCAGATACATTTTCTCCTTTTTTTTTTTTGGATGAAGGAATCAAACTCGAGACCTTGCGCTCACAAGGCAAGTGGTGGAACCACTGAGCTAAATCCCTGGTCCCCTCATTTTTTTTTTAGTCACCCCATCTTTAAGTGCAATGCCTTAGCTTGAAGAGAGGTAAGATCTTATTATTAAAAAATATTAGTCTAAACTTGTTCTATGTTTTGCTCTTTGCAGATGACCCTGATTATTCTTTGGTTTCTGACTACAGTTTACTCTATCAGTAATACCAGAGGTAAGAACCTTTAATCTTCACACAGTCAAGTTGAACTTTGACCAGTGACTGTGTTTCTGAAGACATTGAAGCTTCTTTATGTCACCACCACAAAGAAACCAGCCCTTGCATCAGGCCAGCATACTGGTGGATGTGGTTTCCCTTCAGGGTGGCCTCTCTGGAAGCTGAAGGGAAACCACTGTGTACATTTTTGAATGAGGGCGTTTCCTTTTCATTAACTATCTTATGACTCTGCTCTTGTTAAGTCTGTTGCAGCTATTAGAAATTTACGTTTAGGCATGCTTACAAGCAAAACACACAAGATCCCCACTGTTGAAGTCATTTAGTCTTTAGAGAACCCCCTCCTTCTCCTAAAAGAAGGAAGTCAAGTAAAAAGAAGTTGTGAAAACAGTGTAGATGTAATACTCACCAAACATACCACAGCACCACGGGGGTCACCCTGCACCAGATTATTACTACTCTGAACTAATAAACCACAAGGATTTTCCGAAGAGAACTGAACACTACTAAACCAACCACAGCTGCAAAGATGACCCACACAGCAGCTGGTTCTCTTGGCCCTTGGGTGCTTGGAACATGCCTCAAGTCAAAATCAGTCTTAACAAAGGTGAAGGAATGCCTCAGAAGCCAAAATAGCAATAGTAAATGAAATTCCTTATAAAGTATATGACACTTAAAAAAAAAAAAAAGAAACCCAAACAGTCGTATCCTGGAGTAAAACTATATAGCTGTATATGAGCAAAGAAAAAATCTGAAAGGATGTATTCTTAAACAGGTGACATTTCTTTTTGGTTATCTTGTTTTCTAATTTGTCCACAATAAGAATGTACTACTTCTTTGACTAAAAACTGTTTTGAAGAATTGATCCATTTCCATTTCCCTGATTTCGTGTGTTCCTGGAAGTGACCAGAAGTGGGTGGGCTAGATACAGGAAGTCATAAGAAAACTGGAATGGCTTCTCTGGAACCCTTCCTGGCTTGGTATTGGTAGCATTTACTATCGGGCTGGAGATTTAGCTCAGTGGTTCCATTGCCTGCCTCGAAAGGGCAAAGACCAGAGTTCGATCCCCGGTACCAAAGGTTGGTAACATTTACTATCAATTATGAAACAAAACAGGTTTAACCTATGGTGATTTCCTACAGTGTTTTATCCAGTGGAAAGTACTTGGAAGTTAGCCCATGGAATGTTGCTTCAGTCCTCTGAAAAAAACCTACTTTGTGTAGGGTGTGGAGGCACATGCCTATAATCTGAGCATTGTGGGAGCTGAGGTAGGAGGGTCACACATTTGAACCCAGCATAGGCAACTTAACGAGACTGTCTCAAAATAAATAAATAAATAAAAGGTTGGGGATGTAACCTAGTGCAAAAGCCCTAGGTTCATCCCCAGAACTGCAAAACAAAACAAAACAAAACACCTTCTTTTTGCCAATAGCTAATAAGCTGTATAGAGCAGGAATCAAATTGTCTTAATCAGGTAGAAATACTTAGGTAGTTTTTATTTATATT